AACAACAACAACAACATAGAATCGACACATGAGACTCAGCTCCATGGCAATGTGTAGGAATGGAGTCAACTGAAAGCAAAAATAACATGTGTACAATGCTTAGAATGAGGCCTGGCACAGAGTAAGTGGTATTGAAGTATTTGCATATTATTATTTTGTTCCCTTTTACTTTAAAGATGAAGGGTACTGTAACTCCTACACAGGCTTCATTATGATTCTTTAACCTCATATTTTTTTTCTACCAGTCATATGTTGTCATCTCAACTTGTGTTTCTGGAAATGCATACACTCAGTAGCTGTTTCTAGAGGGCCTGCTGTGTCCCAAGAATAATTCAGGATCAGGAGAAATGGGGTGTACAACATCCTTGCCTTCAAAGAACCTCTTCAGAGTTGACAAACATCAATTAAACGATTTCACACACTAATAAGTGCTGTGTGGGATTGGAGATGCTGTTTTTTTTGTTTTGTTTTGTTTTTTTCAACAGTAAAAGCATTTATTATCAAGCGAATTGGGGAAAACAATGTGCTTTAAATACTATGTATTTGGGGTGGAGGGGGGGTGGGAGACACACACCACACCTCCACACATTTGTACACCTCAGCAGCCATCTTTATTTCACTCCTGTTAGGCCATGAATTCATAGGGACTCGGTTCTAGCAGCTCAGGCTCCTTTCCATTGGTTCTCACAAAGTGCGCCTCTCTGAGGGGAACAGGCTGGCGCTTTAGCTGAACCCAGGTCCCTTTCTCTTTGGCTTCCTTCTTTTTCTGATCATTTTCCTTCACTCGCTTCAGGAAGCTGTCTCTGCTCTTAGAGTGCTTAATATGATCAATGCGCACATTAATTCTCTTGGCAAGAATCTTGCCCTTGACTTGCTTGTTCACGGCAATGCCAACAGAGTGCTGGGTCACATTGTAGACTCTTCCAGTTTTGCCATGGTAACATTTGTGGGGCATGCCTTTTTGAACTGTGCCCATTCCCTTGATGTCCACAATATCGCCTTTCTTGTGGATTTGCATGTATGTGGCCAAAGGAATGACCCCATGCTTTCTGAAAGGCCTGGAGAACATGTAGCGGGTACCCCACCTCTTTCCCTTTGTGTTCGTCATCTTGGGGGATTACTGCAAAATGGTGGCACCGGCCGAAAGGCTGGAGATGCTGTTTTGATAGAGGGAGTTGAAGCAACTTTATAGAGGTAACAGTTGAATTAAGTAAATAGTTGGTAAGAGAAGGAGGTGAAAAAGTGTTTCAACTGGAAGGAGCAATGTATACCAAAAACTGAGATGGGAGGGGAGTGAGCTCGACATTGAGATAGGAATTGTGGAAAGAGGATTTGTGAAGAAGTAGCAAAGTGGGCAGGAATTACGTTCACATGTTCAGACAGTTTGTTAACTTTCAAAACAGGAAACAGATCATTTAAAATTTTTAGCAGCATAAATTTATGTTCCTAGTACAGAATTTTATACACTAATTCCTGGATGTTAAACATTCCTCATTTAAATCCTTAGGTTATTTTAGCATGTATTTAATAGTTTCTCTTTTCCTTCAGAAATGACATAATGTTGTTGTGTGCTGTTGAGTTAATTCTGACTCATAGCGACCTTACATGGAAAAGTAGAATCACCCCATAGTGCTTCAGAGGCTACCGTCTTTACAGAAAGAGTCCTGGTGGTACAGTGATTAAATACTTGGCTGCTAACTAAAAGATTGGCTGTTCAAATCCATCAGCTGCTCCTTGGGAAAAAGATGTGGCAGTCTGCTTCTATAAAGATTTGCAACCCCCAAGGTTGTAAGCAGTTCTACTCAGTCCTATAGACTCACCACGAGTTGGAATCAACTCCACAGCAATGAGTTTGGTTATCATTTTTGAATCTTTACAGAAGCAAATTGCCAGGTCTTTTCTCTTGCGGAGCTACGAGGTGAGTTTAAACCACCAACCTTAGCAGCTGAGTACTTAACCATTTGTACCACCAGGGTTCCTACAAATCCCACAAACCCAGACCTACCTCAACCCACTGCCATCACGTCAATTCCCACTCTTAGTGACACCACAGGAGAAAATAGAATTGCTCCTTAGGGTTTCTAAGATTGTAAAACAGACAACCTCATTTTTTGCCTGTGCAGCAACTGGTGGGTTTGAACTGTCAACCTTGTGATTAGCAGCGCAATGCTTAGCT